CCCCTCCCCCGCGAGTGTAGTTCCCGGGGGCGAGCGGCCACTCTCACATGATTGAGGCAAGATGGCGTCGCCCGGCTCCCTGTGGCTCTTGGCTGCCGCTCTCCTGCCGTGGTCCTGCCACGCTCGGGCGCTGGGGCGTACTGATCTACCCTTGCCGTTGCCGTTGGTGATCTGGCATGGGATGGGTGAGTGCGTGAGGAGAGAAGCAAAGGTTTTGGCGACTCTCTTCCTTCGCGGCTGCAGAATGAGCGTATGGAAAACGAGTCCGATTCTTCCACGGCATCCGCTTGCCGGATATTAGGATTTGAGGAGCTGCTCTGCTTTGGGAGAAAGGGAAAGAGCTATCGGTTGTTAGACAGCTGAGCACGGCTGGGGGGTTTCACGCTGCAGCAGTGGGTCAGGCTGGAGTGTGTCTGCTGCGCGGCGCATCCATCCTTTTACTCCTTCACACCTCGACCAGGGATTTATTAGGTGGCAGCATTTCATTTATATCTTTAATGCGCAGGGAGCACCTACTAGGCGCTGAGGATACAGCAGTGTACGAAACAGACTAAACTGTTTGCACATTTAGAGTTTACTTTCCAGTAGGAGAGACAGAATTAAGAAATAAATAAAACGTACATGTCAAATGGGGATCACTGAAATGGCGAAAAAGTGGGGGCGAGAGCAAGGAAACAGAACCTGGCAAGGCCAGGAAAGTATTCGCTGAGAAAGTGACATCGGGGCAAAAATCTAAAGTGGATAGGGAAGATGACATTTGGATATGTAATAGAATAGCAATTGCAAAAGCTCAGAGGCAGAAGTATACACTGTATATTTAAGAAGCAGCATTCAGATCAGTGTGATTGGATCTGAGTGAGCAAGGGAACGGAATAGAGGTTTAAAGTTAGACTGGGTGAAGATATTGAGCGCACTAAGATTAATGTAGAGACTGGCTAGATTGAGACAGAAACTTTTTGGGCAAATGAGTGATATGATCTGACTTATGTTTTAAAATGATCACTCAGCGTGTTCTATTCAGAATAGATTGCAGGAGGACCAGGGACAGTTGTAGGGAGATAGGAAATTATTGCAGTAATTTAAACAAGAGATGATAATGGCTGGAGATGTATAGGAACAGCAGAGGTGTTGGGAAGTGGTCAAAGTTTGGACATATTTTGAAAGTGGATCCTGTGGAATTTATAAGTGGCATGAGAGAAAGAAGTCAGAGATGACTCTACAGGTGTGGGTTTGAAGAACTAGAGTCATCATTTTCCCAGGGTTGAGGAGACTTAGGGTGGGCCAGTTTGGGGAGGGAGTCAATCCAGAATCTATTTTTGGGCTTAACTGAATTTGAGATCCTTGTTACATGACTGAGAGATGTTAAAGATGCATCTGAGTGTACAGGTTGGAGATTTAAGTTGGGATCCGTGGACATCTGGCTAGCATTTAAAGCGTTCTGAGGCTGGCAGGATCACCTGGGTAGTGAACACCGGCAGGATACTGAGCTCGGAGGCATTTCAGCATTTGGAGGCAGAGGAGACTGAGATAAATTAGCAAAAGAGAGAGCTACAGAAAACGATGTGGGGTTAAGGGAAATCAGGAGAATGTAGTGTCAGGGAAGCTAAGTAAAGACAAAAAATGTTTCAGAAGAAAGAGAGCTGGGCTTGGTGATGCATAGCTGTAATCCCAGCTATTTTGCGGGATTTGGCAGTAGGATTGTAAATTCCAGGCCATCCTGGGCAACTTGGTGAGATCCTGTCTCCAAATTAAATTTTTATTTTTGTTTGTTTGTTTGTTTTTTGGGTGTTTTTTTTTTTGTTTTTGTTTTTTTTGGTACTGGGGATCGAACTCGGGTCCTTGTGTTTGCAAGGCAGACAGTGGAACCACTGCGCTAAGTCTCCGTCCATGTTTGTTTGTTTTTTGAGGCAGGGTCTCACTATGTAGTTCAGGCTGGCCTTGAACTCACTATGTAACCCAAGCTGGCCTCAAATTTGCAGTGATGTCCTGCCTCAGCCTCCTGAGTGTTGGGATTACGGGTGTGCACCACCACACCTGGTTTCAAAATAGAAGAGTAGGGATGGGAGTGTAGCTCATTGGTAGGGTGCTTGCCTACCATGTGCAAGACCCTGGAATCCATACTCAGTGTAGCAAAAGAAAAAAAAGGGATGTTGTTGCCTACTCATGACTGAGAACTGATTATTGTATTTAGCTATATAAAGATCCTTAAAGATCTTGAGAAAAGCAGTTTTGTGGGAGTGATGAGAATGAGAGTTGTATTGAAATGGGTTAAAGAAAAAACATTCAAGCAGGGTGTGGTGGTGCACGCCTGTAATCCCAGCATTTGGGAGGCAGAGGCAGGAGGATTGCTGCATTCAAGGCCAACCTGAGCTACATAGTGAGTTCAAGACCAGCCTTAACTACATAGTGAAAACCTACCTCAAAAAAAAAAAGACAGAGAGAAATGATCTCAACCTGTTCCCCACTAGAGGCCAGTTTGTTCCTGGTTGTTAGTTCTACTTTCTTGACAGAAAAAGGAACAGTTTAGGGATGAGGATGAGTCAAGGAGGCACCTAGAATGCAAAGTAAAGAGGAAATTGTTCCTAAGCTTTGTGACATTCTGGAGCAGCACTTGCACAAACCTGTATTTTGTTTCCTTAATTCTGCCTCTGAAGAGAATTCTTGGAGTCTCTTTCCCCAAGTGTCCCTTATGGTAAAGGGGAGGAATTTATTATTATTATTTTTGGTACCGGGGATTGAACTCGGGTCCTTGCGCTTGCAAGGCGGGCAGCAGAACCCCTAAGCTAAATCCCTGGTCCAAGGAGGGGAGTTTATACCAATGCTTACTTTTTCATTTTCAATTTGGTCTCCTGAGCTGGGTATGGTGGCACACATGTTTAATTGCAGTACTCAGAGGCTGAGCAGGAGGATCGCTGTGAATTTGAGGCCAGCCTGGGCTACAAAAGTGAGACCCTGTTTCACCACCACCCCTGGAAATAAATACATTAATTAATTAAGTCCCCCACTAGGCATGGTGTTGCGTGCCTGTAATCTCGAGACCGAGGCAGGAGGATCCCTGTGAGTTCAAGGCCAGCCTGGGACAACATAGTGAGACCTTGTCTCAACACCCTCCTGAAAATGTATTGATGCTTCAATTATAACTTTTGGGCTTTTTTGTGGGGGTACTAGGGATTGAACCCAGGGTCTTCACAGTGATCCTCATCCCTTTTTATTTTGAGACAGGATATCACTAATTTGCTAAATTGTCCAGACTGGTCTTAAATTTGTGATCTACCTGTCTCGGCCTCCCAGGGTGCTAGTATTACAGGTTTATGCTACCAGGCCTTGCTTCTTATGAGTTTTTGAAGTTATTATTCGATACACTAAGAATGTGTTTTTATCTTTTTAAAAAATTGAGTTTAAATTCATTTTGGAGTGCACAATTCAGTGGCATTGAGTATATTAATAATGTTGTGCAACCACTACTTCCTTCTCATTTCACAACACCACAGAAAAGACACCCACGTACATTAAATAATTATTTAATTCTACCTTCTACCACTTCTTGATAACTTGTAGCCTACTTTTTGTCTATGGAGTTCCCTATTGTGGATAAAATGTATCACAGAATAGATGACCTTTTGCTTGAGGCTTATTTCTCTCTCTCTCTCTTTTTTTTGGGGGGGGTACCAGGGATTGAACTCCGATCCTTGTGCTTATGAAGCAGGCAGCGGAACCACTGAGCTAAATCCCCAGCCCAAGGCTTATTTCTCTTGGCATAATGTTTTCATGGTTCATGCAAAAATTTTTTTAATTAAAGATGTTTTTTGTATGTAGCATGTTGTTGGATTGCTTTTTTTTTTTTTTTTTTTTTTTTTTTTTTTTTGGCACTGGGGATTGAACTCAGGTCATTGCACTTGCAAGACAGGTGGTAGAACCGCTGAGCTAAATCCCTGGCCCTGTTGGATTGCTTCTTGATCCATTCTGTCAGTCTGTTTCTTTTGACTGGTGAATTGAGACCATTTACATTGATAGTTATAACTGATATGTATTGACTTATCCTTGCATGTTATTTTCCTGTTGTTGGTCCCTTTTTTCCCCCCTCTGTTTAATCACTTTCCTTGTTTGGTGGATTCATTCTGTTGGGGTTTATGGAGTTGTAGTACTTGTTATCTGTCTAGAATGTCCTTCAGAACATTTTGGGTTGGTGATGGCTTGGTGTTTGTAAATTTCCTCAGATGTTCTTTGTTATGAAAGTATTTTATTTCTCCATCAATTTTGAAAGATAATTTTGGGGGATATATCAGTCTGGGTTGGGATTCTGATGGGTTTTCCTTTATAGGGAATTTGTTTCTCTAACAGCTTTTAATACTCTGTTCTTGTGTTGAATTTCTGAAATCTTGATTATTACGTGCCTTGATGTATTATTTTAAATCATGGTTCATTGAAGTTCTGTATGCCTCACTTATCTTTATATCAAAAAACATTTTTTTTCCATGCCTGGAAATTTTTCTGCCATTACTTCTGCAAACAGGATTTTTATGTTGTTTGCCCTATCTCCTGCTTTTTCATTGACTCCAGTCAATCTTATGTTATTCATGTTTGCATCATCTAGCAGCTGTTGGATTAATTTTTCATAGTCTCTTGCTATTTTTAAGAAATCTTTCTCTTTTTTAAAAAATAAATTTTATTTGATTTTATCCCATTCCCTCCTCAAGTCCCCTCCCCTCCCTATATACAAAAGCTTTGTTTCCATTTAAGAAATCTTTATTTTCATGATTGCTAACTGCAGCCCTATCTTCTATATCTGATATTTCTTCCTCACATTGGCTCATTCTGCTGCCAAAATGTATACTTTCATTGGAGTTTTTAATTTCCTGGACATCTATTTGAATCTGTTTCATGGATTTCATTTCTTTCATATGCTGAGCTTTCATGGTTTCTCTCATTTTTTTGAGCTACTCTCTCTTTTTTTTTTTATCTGTATCTGCTCTAGAGTCATTAACCATGTCTTTCAATATGGTCATCATCTCTGTAGTTATTTGAGAAATTATTTATGATTTGATTTTTCTAGAGCCTCATTCATCTGCTTTATTATTTCCACTGTTACTACTTCAGAGAGTCCAGTTGGGTAGGTTTCAAATTGTTTCACCTCATTTCCCCCTGAGCTTGTCTTTGGTAAGCTGATTGTCTGAGGTTGCATATTGTATAAGTGTCTTCTCATTTTCTATTTTGTAAAGTTTAGTTCCTGGGTTGATGCTTGTAAATTGCTTATGGCAGGGAGCTTAATCTAGTACTTAGAATGCTTAGGAAATGACTACTTCTCAGAGATGTCTTCCAGGTCTAGCTTGCTTTTGGGTTTTGAGTCTGTTGCAAGATCCTACTTCTTCAATTTATTGGGAACAAGAAGTTGCTACTTATTTGGCCTATAGCCCCTTGTTCTTTGCCACTGGCCTATAGTATTGTTTATGACCCTTAGGCAATCTCAGTCTTGGAACACCTGGAAGAGTAACTGATTAGAACAACTGTGTCACCTGGGTTGAAGTAGTACCATCAGCAATAGCAATATCATCAAACATAGCTTAGAGAAGGACAAACTGTGGTACCTTTAGCCAAATGAACTAGATTTGTGGTTATATAACAAAACCTAAAACAAACCAGAAAAATGTATACAGTAAATATGCCCTCAGTATGGCAGTTTTACCCTCAGGGGAGAAAATTCAAAAGGAGTTGGGGGAAAATAGAGAAACAGAAGAAGAGGAGGAGATTAGAAGCAAGGCTGGAGAACACTGCACAATCTTTGGGAAACTGATGAAGAAGAGAGAGAGAAGGAAGAAGTAACAAAAGCAGAACAACACAAAAACCCTAGAAATAATGTTCACACATAAAAGCAAGAAACAGTCAAGAAAAAACAAACAAAAACAAAAGAAGAAAATAAGAGGAACAAAGTCCACTTCAAGGTGCTATTACTGGTAGACAAAGTGGGCAGACAGATCCATGCTGATTAATCCCAACAAGCCAGAGGTAGATTTATGGCTGTGAAGTGGATAATCCTAGTAAACCTGCATCTTTAGTTCTGAAGCTTAGGTTGATTTTTTTTTTTTTTTTTTTTTTTTTGTTTTGTTTTGTTTTGTTTTGTTTTATTTGGTACTGGGGATTGAATTCGGGTCCTTGTGCTTGTGAGGCAGGCGGCAGAACCACTGAGCTAAATCCCTGGCCCCTTAGGTTGGTTTCTGACTGGGAGGCTGGAACTTGTTTTCTTCAGCCTGCACCACCCCATATGCTTCAGCTTGAACTCTTACCCTGACGGAGTCAGCCTGCAGATGCTCTGAGTTCTGAGCAGTCTACTGGCCAATTGCCCTCTCCTGGGAGATGTCTGAACCTAAATAATTCACCAGCCACTGCAGTCTGTTGTACTTACTACTCCATTCCACTGGTGTGTTTCTCCATGGTGGCCTCTGGAGTTGCCAGTAGTCATGGTGTGTCTGCAGGTTCAGGCCACCTTTCCCACACAATGAGTCAGGGCTCAGCGACAGAACGTCACTTGCCTCCTCTTTCTTTGTTAAAGTTTCTCTCTTTGCTTTCCTTGTGGGCTTAAATTCTTGCTTAAGATCCTTGGTAGGTCCTGGGAACTCACTTCCCTCCTTCTCTTTCTCACATTGTTCTATTCCAGGGTCTGGACACCAAATCTCAGAGAGGCTGTTTCCTTGCTCTTCACAACTCTGCTATCTTCTGTGAAGTCCTATTTTTGTTTTTTGAGCCAGGGTCTCACAATATGGTTTGTTTGTTTGCTTTTCTCACAATACAGTTTAGATTGGCTATGGTAATTACTTTTCTCTTGTTGCTGAGACAAAATACCTAACACCTTTAAAGGTAGAGGGGTTTATTTGGCTTACAATTTGTAGAGATTTCAGTCTATAAGTGGCTGAATACAAGGCAGAGTGGCACATGGCAGATGGGTAACAGTTCATGGCACACAGAAAGTAGCAAAGCAAGCAAGGGACCTTAACACTGTCTTTAACACTTAACACGTCACTTCTGTTTTATTCAGAGTAGCATTCACACCCTTAATTCTAGTACCCTTGGGCCTAGCATTGCACCATGAATCAATCACATACTTTAGATCCAGCCATCTTTGTAAAAAGCCCCAACTAAAACCTCATGAGGCTTTGAGAGTACATCTACATACAAGCCATAACACTAGACTTGAACTCACTATGTAGCCCGGGTAGTCCTTGAACTTTTGTCGATCCTCTTGCCTCAGTCTCCCAAGTGCTGGGATTTTAGGTGGGAGCTACCATACCCAGCATGCCATACTCTGTATATTCTGGATGGTAAACTCAGGTACAAATGTTGTGCAAATGTCTTCTCCTTTTCTGTATATTGACTTTTCACATTCTTGATAATGCCTTTTGAGATACAAAAATTTCAAAGAGTAAAGTTATTTTGATTAATGAGTTTCCTTTACTGTTTTTGTTGGCTAGGAGACAGCTGTTGTAATCCCCTGAGCATGGGTGCTATTAAAAAGCTGGTAGAGAATAAAATACCTGGAATTTATGTCTTGTCCTTAGAGATCGGGAAGAACATCAAAGAGGTAAGCACTTTGCAGCTCTGTTCATTTGAAGGCTTGCTTGCTAGTTTCATAGAATGTCCTATCATAATTCTTCAGCTTGTATTTCTGGCAGCATTGAGTACATGGTACTTTCCCTTCCTTCCCATGCATGAGTTCACTTCTATAGAAGATACCAGTGGTTGCTTTCTGTCCCATCTTTCACTTCTCTGTGGCTCCTTTCTTAGGACATGGAAAACAGCTTCTTCTTGAATGTCAATTCCCAAGTAAGGACAGTGTGTCAGATTCTTGCTAATGATCCTAAATTGCAGAAAGGCTACAACGCTATGGGATTCTCCCAGGGAGGCCAATTTCTGTAAGTACCAGAATTAATCCACTGCCTTCTATCTGTCTAATGTTTTTTCTTTTGGTGGTACTGGGAATTGAACACAGGGCCTGACGCATACAGGGCAGGCATTCTGCCACCGAGCTACTTCCCTCTCCTGAATCATCCAGGCTAGCCTGAAACTTGTGATCCTTCTTTCTCAGCCTCCCAAGTAGCTGAGATTACAAGCATATGCCACTGTGCCTGGCCACTACTCTGAACTCTTGGGATCCTCCCCTGTCTTAAAGAGGAAACTATTCTAAAATATCCCTGTGTAAAAAGCTTTATGGAGCTTAATTTATTTTCTATGAAAAAAATGAAAATTGGGTTTGTCCACATCAGAGGAAAATCCCAGAATTTCCTCTATGGCTTTGAGGAACTAGTTTAATCTGTGGAGCTGACTTTCCATAAGACATTTCTGCCTGAGAGTCAGCTGATAAACCTATTTTATTTCCCCAGGAGAGCAGTGGTTCAGAGATGTCCATCACCTCCCATGATCAGCCTGATTACATTTGGTGCACAGCATCAAGGTAACTTTGACTCTGTATCTCTTCTTTCCCTGTGCCAACCCACATGGCCACTTTGGCTTTTAACAGTATAACAGCTCTGTTTGCACATAGGTCAACCATCCCTGTAAACGCCAGCATCGGTGGGGACACAGGAGAGACAAAGTATCCCAGAGCTCTCTAACAGCAGAGAAATCATTAGGTTGCCATCTCCTTTCCAGTCGAATCAATGGGATTTCTTAGAGGTCAGCTTTGCGAGGTGGCAGTCAGCGTAGCCAGTGAGGTTTAGCTAAAGCACAATCATTGCTAGTTGAAAGATTTCATGGAGGAGAGATGGTTGTAGCCACATGGCAAGTGGCAGTAAAGGACTTAGGAAAATGGAATGGCTTTTCCTGTCTTCTGACATTGATGCTGTGTGAATTTAGGAGTAGGCAAAAAAAAATTGTGTGTAAAATTTTTTTATCTATAAATTTTACAGTAGAGATTAAACCCTTTGAAAATTAGCAGGTTTTCTGTTTAGACAGAATCACATATTTTAGGCTAAAAGGTGTGCCCTTGGTCTAGAATTTTCTCTCTCTCATTGTGATTATAACTGTTAGCAGGTATAATGTGGGAGCAGAATTCTCTGGATTGTCAGGAAACGTGGATTCACCCAGTTACTATAATTCATGGCAAGGCAGTGTATCTCAGATCCCTTTCACAAATGGGGAGAAACTGAGAGATAGCCCTGCCCATCTTGTAGAAATTTTCCAGTGAAGTGGAAATAACAAAAAAATACTTCTTAAAATTTAATACAAGAGTTATGCAAACGTGGGCTGGTAAAAATAATTTATTATTCATTCAACAAAGATTTGTCAAAAGACAGACTAGTAATTGTGGTTCCTTTCCTTTCCTTTCTTTTTGAGATCTTGAACTCATTATGTAGCCCGGGCTTGCCTGCAGCTCCTGCCTCAGCCTGCCCTACTGAGTCCTAAGATTATAGGCATGCATCACCACTGCTGTCTACTAAACCTGTAAGGGACTTGCATACCCATGGATTTTGATGCCCTTTGGGAGTTCTGGAACCAATCCCTCTTAGATACCAAGGGATGACTGAATATTCTTGGCATTAGCTTGGTACTCCGAAAATGTTCTTTTCGGATGAGGATGAGATTATTACTAGAGAGAGGAAAGGGCAGGGCGTGGGGACTGCTTGGAATAGGTTAGCCATCCATGATGTCCCTAAGCCAAGGTCTGTGAGAGGAAGTGCAGCCATGTGCTGTAGTACAGAATCAGCACACAGCCCAGAGGCAGCAGAGCGAAGCTGTAGGCCGATAAGCACAGGACCACCAGGAGGGAAACAGGTTGCACTGTTAAATCTTGGTGTTTCAGGAAGAACTGAAGGAGATAGGGTTTTGCTCTTCCCCATTTTCATTTTTCACTGTACCTTGAACCCAATAGGTATTTGATGTATGATTATTGACGCATGAGTATTTGTCTTTTCCCACCACAGGTGTCTTTGGATTCCCTCGATGCCCAGGAGAGAGCTCTCACATCTGTGACTTCATCCGAAAAATGCTGAATACTGCAGCTTACTCCAAAGTTGTTCAAGAACGGTGTGTATGTTAGCTTCAAGGACACAGACCACCACTGTATGAAAACACCACGCTCAGGTTCATGCTAGCAGTGATTCTAGGAGTAATGACTAGTACTACTCAATGACATATTTTTTATAGTTAAATCTGCATTATCTGCTCAGTTTTAAAAGTGTAAATGACTAAACTTAAAAGTACTCTACACTTTTATTCTAAATCTTGCTCATATGCCTCAGAAAAACCTATCCTCTTTCTTTGGATTTCTTTGTGGACTAAAATACGACCCTTGGTAACTAGAATAATGTGGATAACTAACTAAGCAGTCAGTGGGGGTGAGAAATGACACCTAAATATTGATTAAAATTGGTAGATTTAGTACAAGTATCTAAATCTAAACCTGAAAGTGCTCTAATAATAATCTTAATTTTTTAGAAGAAGTAAAACATTTTTTTCCTAGGTGGCAAGAATGTAATTATAACAAATTTCCATAACTTAAAAATTTTTGTTTTGTGTGGTGCTTGGGATTGCATTCAGGATCTTGTGCATGGTAGGAAAGTGCTCTACTACACCCCTAGCCCTTTTATTGTTTAAATTTTATTTTGAGATAGTGTCTTGCTAAGTTGCCCAGGCTGGCCTCACACTTGCTATCCTCCTGCTTTAACCTCCCAAGTAACTGGGATTACAGGTGTGTGCCAGTGTAACTACCCCTCCACCCTTAAACATAGAAGACTTTAGAAAGTACTAAGCCCAAGAAATTATGACAGTATCTGCAGGACATATTCTTCTTGTCAGCAGACGGGGTTAGTCAGCCATTCATACATCACTGTCTCTGACTACCCAAATAATGGTCAGGTATTTAAAAATACACAGAATCACTTTTGGAGTGTATTTCTAAACTTAATTAAACATCAGAACTGCTAGAAATTCACTAAAAATAGGTTCCCTAGAAATTCTGATTTAGTGTTCCTAGTCAGATCTAGGTGATATTCTAGGTGATAGCTAGGGCTTGAGATCAACTAATATGGTTTTGGTATCTATCCTCGGGGTTTTCCAAGTGTACCATTCTTGTCAAATAACAACTCTCCAATCCAACTTCTAAAGAACAACTTTTCTTTTCATTAAGTTTATTGGTACATTTTAGGTGTATAATACAGTTATATTAATCGTTGGGAACTTGTACCTTTACATGATGTATCTTAGTTATTATTTTTTCCCCATTCCCTTGCCCTCCCTTCAACCCCTCCACCTCTATTTACAGAGGCTTTATTTCCATTTTTTTCCTTTTGTCATATTTTTCCTTTCCCTTCTTTCCTTTCCCCTACCTCTCTCACTTCCCCTACCCCTTTACACCTTAGTGGTATGATTCTTTTCATTCTTTTGGAAAGATACCCAGCAGAGGGATAGCTGGGTCAAATGGGACCTCTAATCCTAGTTTTTTTAGGTGTCTCCATATTGATTTCCACAGTGGTTGCACTAGTCTGCACTCCCACCAACAATGGGGGAGGGTTCCTTCCTCCCCACAACCCCGCCAGCATTTGTTATTGGTTGATTTCTTGATAGCAGCCATGCTTTCTGGCGTAAGGAGGAATTTCAGCGTTGTTTTCATCTGCATCTCTCGAGTGACCAGTGATGCTGAACATTTTTTCATATGTTTATTTGCTGCTTTTGCTTCTATTTCTGAAAAACATCTATTCATTTCAGATGCCCATTTTTTAATTGGGTCTTTAAATTTTGGGGGTCTGATTTTTTAAGTTCTTTATATATTCTAAATAGTAGTCCTCCAAAGAACAACTTTTATTGAAATAGCCTTGTGACCAAACCATAAACTTGTTTTTTTCCTTTCCTACCTGTTGGCTACACCCAAACACAAAGCTGTCTTGAGCTAGCTGTGCTATTTGCTGGTCAGTTCAGGAAATTCTTTTGTCCTGTGTATTCTCATTCCTATGCATGGCCTTTTCAGACTTCATTCTTTGTTCTAATTCCTGCCTTCTCTTTCTTTGGATTTGTTCTGTGGACTAAAATATAACCCTTGGTAACCAGAATTATGTTAATGATGATAAATGAAGGGCCAGTACAGTGAGAAGTGACACATAAATACTGGTTAAAAAAGGTAGATTGATGTGTTAATCTTCACTTCCTCCTTAAACTTTAATAAAGTAGTAGAAAAAGAATCATAAAAGGGCTGGGATTTAGCTTAGTAGTACTGCACCTGCCTTACAAGTTCAGTCCCTGATTCCAAAAAAAAAAAGGGAGGGGGGAATGAACCCACTAGAGCAAAGAATAAGAGAGGAGTTAGATAAAAGATGTACACATGTTTTTGAGAGAGAGAAAATAAAAGGAAGTTTGAAAATTGTTTTAGCAGAACAGAGGACGTTCACATCTATAGAGGGCTACACTGCAAGAAGGGGGCAGATTCACCTTCTACCACTTCAGGAAGGAGCTAATTCAAGAATTAGAGTTATCAAGATCCTTTGATCTTGATAAATATCTTTGAAAAAGATATTTTTCCTGGAGGACCAGGGATGTAGCTCAGTTGCGCCACACCTGCCTCGCAAGCTCAAGGTCCTGAGTTTGATTCCTGAGGCGGGGAAAAAGATGCTTTGGAAGGTGGAAATAGTAGAAGTGAAAACAGGACTTTGACTGGACTTCCCAGCTACCTATGTGCCTATCCAAATGATCACTTTTCCTCCATTCTGACTGGAGAAACAAAACTAATTTTCTGGAACAATTTACTTAGAGAAGCCCCAGACTTAGTGATAACAACGAAGTGTGGTGAGAAAACTTTTGCCCTGAAAACACATCCCCTGCACTCCTGCTCAGCCTCCAGAATGACAGCCGTTAGGATTATTCCCTCCTGGGCTGAGTTCAGTGGACTCCTGTGTGGAAAAATGAACTAGAGAAAAGACTTTGAGATTGAGTCTTTGGAGTCGTCCAGTTAATCTGGATCCCTCCTGATTACTATATGTTGAAGTCACCAGTACGTAAGCTCTGCTCTAAGCTCTGCTATTGCATGAAGAGTTTCCAGTGAGCCTGTGCCTTGTTTAAATGTGAATGTTGAGTCACAGACCCCCAGACAGACATCTGAGGAAAGCTTCTAATACGAGAGACCAAAATGAGTAACAAGTAAAAAGGAACTTGGAAAAAGTTATCTGCGGGGAGATATTTCCAAGCTACAATTGCGTATATGTAACCCCAAGAAACAATCAAGTGTGGGGGAAAATAAATGTACTATATTTTCAGACATGCAGAAAGATGGCAAAATGACCTTCCATGTCCTCTTTCTAGGGTTTTTGTTTTGTTTTGTTTAATGCTTTGGGGGGGGTGGGTAACAGAGATCAAACTCAGGTCCTTGTGCTTGCAAAGCAGGCGGTGGAACCACTGAGCTAAGTCCCCGGCCCTTGTTTTGTTTTTTTGAGAGCCTCAGTTCTACTACCATCTAGCTATGTGGCCTTGGGGTGTCTTTGCGCCTCATTTTCTTAGATCTCAGTAATATATTTTCCTGTGGGCCTATTGTGAGGATTAAATAAATTGGGTGTAAAGCATTTCATATAGTGCTCAGTTTATATGAAGTTGGTGGCTTTTTGTTATCACTGCAGGTGGTGTGTTCAGAATATTTATTCAACTTCAGTTTTAGGACCTTTATTAGTATTGTTTTCTCTTGTACTTGCACATGTCAAATAGTTAATAATTTCATCAAATATAGGTTTATTGCTATTTGTCAGGTCCTATTGTAGGCTTCATGGACACTACAAAGAAGACAGTATTATACTAGAGAGGAAAGGGGTAAACAGGCACAATAGAGAAGCACTAAGTGGGTAAAGCTGTGATGAGAATAACAGGATGCAGCCGTGGGAATATAGGAGCGAGCCTACCGGGGACAGGATAGTCTTTGAAGAAGCAACCTTTAATCTGGGATGTGAAGGAAGAGGAAAAAAAAAAGGCCATAGGAGGATCTGAGAAAAGAATCATAAGGCAAATTAGTACCTGGCTCAACGGCCCTGAGGCTAGGACAAGTTTGGCTTGTTCTAGGCGAGGTTGAACAGAGATGGTGATCAGGAGAGTTGGACAGAAAAGCAAGAGCTCCATTGTGCAAAGATTTGTAGACCTGATAAGGAGTGGGATTTGAATCCAAAAAAAAAGGCCATAGGAGGATCTGAGAAAAGAATCATAAGGCAAATTAGTACCTGGCTCAACGGCCCTGAGGCTAGGACAAGTTTGGCTTGTTCTAGGCGAGGTTGAACAGAGATGGTGATCAGGAGAGTTGGACAGAAAAGCAAGAGCTCCATTGTGCAAAGATTTGTAGACCTGATAAGGAGTGGGATTTGAATCCAAACAGCATGGACAGGTATTGGGAGACTTCAGGCACCTAAATGGCATAGCCTGATGGATTTTTTTGCAGTGGTCCATGTGACAGAGGGTAGTGGTTTGGACAGTAGGATAGATACTGAGGTGGAGAGAAAAGCAATGACTTGAAATATGTTTCTCGATCTTGTACCTGAATTGGACTTCTGAGCTGGGTTAATGCTCACCACTTAGCACACAGGTTGCATGGGAAGGTGCATTCTGAGTTCTCAGCAGCTGAGCACAGATCAACTTTTAGGCCACCTAATTTTATAAGGTGGTTTTTCTTTTTAAAAATGCATTTGAGCCAAGTGTGGTGGGACACATCTGTAATCCTTGCACTCAGGAGATTGAGGCAAGAGGATCACCTTGAGATCAAGTTCAAGGCCAGCTGAGGCTACATAGTGAATTCAAGGCCAAAATGGACTACAGAGCCAGACCCTGTCTCAAAAAAAAGAAAAAGTGTTTGAGGCCACTGTGTTCTGTTTTGCATGTTGGTCCACCTTCATACTGTAAGGCATACTTCTTTTCCTACTTTTACTTGGCCCAAACTCACTTTGAAGAGCCTATTTCTTTACCTACCTTTAATAAAATTTTGCTACTTTTAAGTCAATAAAACAAAATAAAATGCGTTTGAATGGGCAAAATCTGATTTTAATAGATGGCTAGTGTGAGACTTA